TATTACGTAGTAAAATATGCCTTGGTGTCCTTATGAATTCACTGTGGCACAGTTTGGAAACTGAGGTCCTAGTCTAATCTACAGCCCCAGGGTTTCCTGGTGGCCCCCCACCCAAGTCCTGCTAACCAGATGCAATCGTGCTTCACTTTCTCAAGTTCAGTTCACACTCACCAGGTGCTTCCACCTTCTGGGACCCCAGCAGAGTAGAACAAGGTTCCTCTCCTGGTGATGTGATCCACACATCCATATATTTTCCCAGGAGCAAAAATGGTGGGTTCTTGCCTTGTCCCGAAATTTGGGAGGTGGGGTGGGCTTTCCAATGTATGCTACCCTTCTGTGTGGTCTCCCATCCAAATAATAATTACTTCTGCCCTTGATTAGCCTTTGGAAGTCGGGCAAGGCCAACAAGGTGCTGCCCCCAGCTGGGCACCTATGGGATTGCATGCATGCGGTGAAGTGGCTGAACTGACTGGTGAAGCGACCGAGTCCCACGGGGAGAGCTCTGCTTAGCTGTTGCTCCCTCTTTCCTTCCTCCCAACTCAGAGTTTGATGAGTGAAGGGGAGGAAGATGAACTGGGCGAGGAGGAGGAAGATGACGCCAAAGGGATGAAAGCATCAGCCTTGTCTGACTCCGTGCTGACCAAGAAGCTGGACGAGAAAAGCAGGAAGCCGCCGGCTAAAAGTCTCGCAGATTTGCACAGCGCGGGTAAGTGTGCGTCGCCCGCCGGAAAGGCTGTCTGTACTGTAGGGTGCACAGCTTGGGCTGGCTGAATTTCTCCCTTTTGTACTGGTCGGTGCAGTGATGTCCACCGGTCAAAGAAGTCAAGATGGTGGCCGTGATGGTGTGATGACCATCATGGCCACCCTCCTGACTTTTTTACCATATCCTGCAGACACCTGTGGGTAAGTGCATAACAGCAGGGCCATCTGGCCCTCTTCTAGCTTCCCAAAGTGACAGTGTGCGGCCAGGAATGACCTTAACTGAGATATACTCCCGTGTTTTGATATCCCAATTATTTTGAGATTTTTTTCCCCTAGAATCATAGGGTGGGAAGGGATCTTGAAGGTCAGCTAGTCCAACCCCCTGTCTGGTGCAACCCAGGGCTGCCCAATCTTTTCTTGAAAACCTTCAGGGATAGAGCCTCCCACAACTTCACCGCTTAAACAAAACAAATTTGAATTTCTGCCTGCGGTTGGCCTTCCCACACCTGTTCATCCTTTCTTGTGCTTGTGGATGCTAAACAGAGGGGAATTATTTGGTCTGTGCACAAAGCCTTTGTACAGGGACCCTGAATAGCATTCCTGCAAGTGAAGCCCCCTTTCTGGGAGCTTTGAAGCAGCCGCATCCTTCGGAAGGATTGGCATGAATGTCTGGAAGTTTATGTGTGGGTGCGTGTACAGAAAATAGTTCTGCAAAGCGGAGTGGTTGTGTGCGTGCATGCGGGCAGAAGCACCGTGCAAAGCAAAGCAGCTGCATCAAGCATTGCAGAGGACATGGCTGCTTTAATGCCCAAGAGGGGTATCTTGCATGAGTCAGCATGAATGGCGAGGCACCCCTTCAAAGGCCTTGCCCATACTGACGATTGGGTATTAGAGCTGTCCATCAAAGCAGGCCAGTTGGGGCACCTCCTCCCACTTTTTTACGCCAGAGGGAGGGGGGAAACTGAGGGAGGGGGATTTGGGAGGTTGGGCGGAAAGGCAGGTTGGAGGGAAGTTCCGAATCCTAGAAAAAACTCCATTTCTTAGAATGGGGGAAGATGAATATATGTATTTAGCCCCTGGGGAGGCAAGAATGGGTATGGAATTGGGTGATTTGATTTGATTTGATTTGATTTGATTTGATTTGATTTGATTTGATTTGATTTGATTGATTGATTGTATTTATGCAGCCGCCCATCTCACACAAAGTGACTCCCTTTACCACCCATTTTATGATCTTTCCTAAAAGTTATTTCAATCCCTCGTTTAAACGTGGACAAAGCGGTTGCCTTGTTCTACATCTTCCACCAAGTTCGGTCACCTCCACTCTCTAGAAAGAAAAGAGGAATTTCCAAATGAGGAAAAGCTTTGGTGGTAGCAGCCAAACCAGTAGATCCTTTCTATCCGTGTTTCTCAACCTCAGCAACTTGAAGAGGGGTGGACTTCAACTCCCAGAATTCCCCAGCCAGCACAGCTGGCTGGGGAATTCTGGGAATTGA